AAGCATGTCAGAGACATTTTGAATTTGATCTGTAAAACAAAATAATGTGTTTTCCTATTAAGTTCAATGTATGTACCAAGATTAAACAGCTGTAGAACTGAGATCTGTTTCCACGAAACAGAAATACTAAATTTTGATGAATTTTAAGCATAAACATGGCCACCATTCGGCCACCTTAAATTGAATCATGGGCGTGTATTTGATTTCCAAGATGTACATGTGTGATGTATGAGTAAATTTTGAATGAGATTGCGCCAAGGATATCGAAGATACAGATCAGAACAGATAGACAGCTGAGAAACAGTCTGGTAACTAAGAAACAGACTGGTAACTGAGAAATAGATTAGTAACTGAGAAACAGTCTGATAACTGAAAAACAATCTGGTAACTTAAATCAATTGAACAACAACTCATGACAGCATTAAGTAAAATGACTGAAACTGAAACCGATGCAACTAAAATTCCTGAATTACTAGAGCACCATTATATGTAGTTTGACAGGTAAGCAACTTGCATTGATGAAGGTCAGGTCTGAGCGGTCATTGGGCTAAGCATGACTTGCTGCTTTCAATGGTTCAAGTACATATATTATCAGTATTTTACACAATAGACATTCTGAGCAATTTGAAATGTACACAATGCATTGTATTAAAACAAAGCAATACTGGTAAATAATCATGTGAAATTACAGCACACTGGATAACATTGTTTTCACTTTATGTGAGACCAATTGTGTTCTGATCCCCAAGGCAATGAGGCAATCAAATTTAACATGTACCAGCATAAAAACTAGAGGACTGTTAAAGAAAAGAGAATGACATTACCAATATACAGCTAGCTATGTGATAGTGGCTCCACAGAATTATACATACGTACACAGGTCTGTGATAAAGTGAACACAGTCAAGGCATGTAATCCAATGGATTTGTTGAGAATATACCCTATGCTACTTCTTTGAGATGTAAATCAACTCCTGAATTGAACTGTCAGCTGCGGTATATAAATAACTTGACTACCATGCATAGCGCATAGTTTAACTAAGTGGGTTTTCATTAAAAACCATGGTAGCGGAATACTACACAATGTATGTATGAAAACTATCAATACCAGAGTCACTTCATTGCACGGAAAAAGGGAGTAAGAGAGATACTACATATAGACATAGGTATGGTGTACATTCTTTTACTTGCTACCAACTTCATACATTGGTCTACCAAATATCAACCTAATCACGAAGAAGAGAAATAATTCAACTTTACCGTTATAATGTCCCCAGCTTTAAAGGCAAGGCTGTTCTGGTCGTACATATTATAATAGTCCTTAATGGCCCGAGCCTGGAGGGCGCCACTAGCATCTGGAGGAAAGAACCAACAAACTTGAACATTCTGTAAAGCTTAACATCAAAGCAAGCTTGACATGTCATCAGTAGAACTTCATTAGAATCCAACCCACAAATCCCACCCCAACAGTTATAATAGTCTGTCCCTTAAAGTATTCAATTCAATTCAATTGTCAAATTACAACAAACAAAAGCAAAAATTACAAACATGATAGTAGTCTGCCCAGTAGTTATAATAGTCTGCCCCTAGAAGTAATTAATCCCACCCCAGTAGTTATGATAGTCTGCCCTTAAAAGTAATTAATCCCACCCCAGTAGTTATAATAGTCTGCCCCTAAAAGTAATTAATCCCACCCCAGTAGTTATGATAGTCTGCCCCTAAAAGTAATTAATCCCACCCCAGTAGTTATAATAGTCTGCCCCTAAAAGTAATTAATCCCACACCAGTATTTATAATAGTCTGCCCCTTAGTATATTTAAATCTGTAGTCAAAATAGAACATATTTAAATGACCAATCATATATTAACTTGTATTTTTTGGTAAGTGTGCATTCTCTATTGGAGATGCACTTCTAATAGAGAAAATACTGTATATTCTTTTTTTGTAAAAAACGTGATACAAGTATTTGTTGGTGCTGGTACTCTGAGGTATAATAGTCATAAATTACGTCAGCATGTTACATTAGTTGACACTCTTCTCAAAAATTATATAAGTCAATATTATACATTGTTTCTCCAATACTAACATTTTTCACATGTCATAAACAATGGATCTACAATCCCTGGGAAAACAATGGCACTTGATTCACTGGTATGTTCAAATCACTCTAAAACCACACTAAAAC